TTTTTCAATCAGAACAGAACTTTAGTGTCACAAAAACAAATATCAGCATCCTAATTCTATTCAGAAATTTAACTGATTTCAGATGGTAATATAATTCTGTCCATAATTACAAAAGAAAGAAAACATTATTCCAACCATTGATCATCTGGAAATCTGCTTTCAGAACATTTGAAATATTGAGGAGTTAAACAGAATATCACTGGCCATTTCTTTTCCATCAATCCTAAAATACCTTTATCTAGACAAAACCAAACTATCTCAGGAGGGCATTATAACATGGATCAACTATCGTAGAATTTACGACTGTCTGACCTAACATTATAACATGGATCAACTATCGTAGAACTTACGACTGTCTGACCTAACATATTTGATTCAAAATCACTATTCAGTGCCATTTCAGATTTTTTGACAAAATACCTTAACATCTATCATCAATGTTATATAGCGATTCTATGTTGGTATTCTATGAAAGCAGTGTAATACTTTATGCAGAATTTGAAGGCTGAAGCTAGCCTTTGCAATAACTGACTATTATTTCTCCTATGTTTTAACTCATCATTTACCAATTATCCCTATTTAAATAAGAATTCCAAAGAATGCAAAACCTTGAAAATGTTTTCGCTTCCAAGTCTTAACTCATTCACCCCTAAAGTCACATTTGAACCTTAACTACCTTATGAGTTAACATGAACATTACACAATTCCAAATTTTAAATGTTGTTTTAACTCAAAAGGTGTTACAATATACACACAATTATTATGTAATACAACCGCAGAGTGACATTTTGCCAAAATCCAGAAATGTAAAGCTACAAATATGAAATCTGCCAAGGAGGAATTTAAAAAACAGGAAATTAAATAAAACAATGACAATTGGAAACCTCAGTACAAATTATATGTACAATATAAATAGTACTAGTTGTCAGTTCACCCTCTGCTGTGTATCTGAGCTTAGTCCCGCTATCAAAATGTTGTCTCTGGCACTATAGTCTTATGCTAACAGACTGGCCCTTTAAACTGGTATCACCATTGAGCATTAAGTATGCTGGCAGAATGCTACCAAAATGTATCTGTCCATACAGCCAGCAGATCAGAGGATACAGCTATATCTAATATAGCCGACATTGAACACCTCCAAGAAAATATTACTCACACCCATAGATACCAATCTAGCGTTTAATTGCAGAAACAGACATACCAGTACATCACTTAACCCAACCATAGCATAAATTTTGTGCATGTGCAGAAATTTTGTAAATTTCAAAACGTTTTGATGACTTATCATTTACATGAGATACTGACTATTTGCACATCAACATGATGAAATTTGCATGACACTTTCAGAAGATGTGTTTACTCTCAAAGGAACGCACCAGAATTTCTGTCTCCTCTGAAACACTCAAAACGGCCTTGGCATTTGTGTCAGGTTTTTTTCTCTTTTCATTTTGTTTTCTAGGTTTTCCACACGTTAAGTTTGTTTCCTGTCTTCAAATTGCCAGAACCTAAATTCATGAAACTGGCGCTGTTATGAAATTTAAGTGCGGTTTACTTTTAAAACATTAATGTGCTATTTTTTTTTCTCTTTGGTTGAAAACACATAAACTGCATAAGAAACAGTGTGTGCTGTCAGAAAATGCATTTAAAGTGAATTGGCACTATTTGGAATTATGGCAAAGTTTGTTTTTGCAGTTTATAATAGGAAGATAAACTCGGTGGATCTGAGTAACATAGTTGCTTCAGCAACTTCCAAAGTTATCTGTTTGTGAGCTAAAAATAAAGTCGGCTCTCTATCATTTAATTCATAGGTCCATTACCAGAATATACCAGAGAGACAAGGAAGGGTTGAATTATTTCATTATCTTGTGAAACCCCCAACACTAACCAAGAATTAGGTAGAAATAAACCATACATTTGGTGGAAACAATCCGCTCAGGCTGCTTTGCTTTTGTCTACCATTAGGCTAGCATGGGGGTAATCAGAACCATCTCACTGGAAATGGACTCCCACATGTCAATCAAGATCTGTGCTGGCCCTGATTATACATTGGACCAGGATGTCTATTTATGAAATCCACATCCTTCAAATAAATACTGTCAGTGCATCTATTGCATGGAAATCCACATCCCTCAAAAACACACTGTCAGCAATCTATTGTATAAAATCTGCATCCTTGAAGTATACATTGCCAGCAATATATTACATGAAATCCACCTTTTCAAACTCTTTTCCCACGTACACATTGACAGCCATGGTAATGCCTATGTATTGTCATTTTCCCAAAGGAAATATGTCATTGTGAGATATACGGAGCAATTCATGGTCAACACCTCTCGACAAACTTTGGTTAAAAAAGTGAATGAAGGGCCATATTTCTGTATAATTTAGTGGGATATGAAGCCCAGTTCCAGTATGTGACACTCTGTCATCCCAGAGTTACTTATATACAAAAATATGTCAATTTTTAGAGAGTTCATGAAATATGCCTCGGTCAAAGCTACAAGCAATGAACAAGGGCCACAACTCTATATATAGCAGGGCACAAGACCTGGTTTTTGTACCCAACATTCTACTTTCCCATTAAGAGGTACTCGCATACAAAACTTGGTAAGTCTAGGTGACAGATTAATATCAGATATGTTTGGTGAAAGTGATGCAGGGACTTACAGACCGTCTAACTGATCGTTGGAGTACAAACCTGATAATAGTCCCCTCTAAGACTTACAAAGGACCAATAACGGGCTCTACTTACAATTACGAGGAAGATGTCATTTTATCATATCACAGCTGAATGCTCATGTGTAATTCAATAAAATCTGTGAGACATTCATAAGTATGTAGAAGGATCATAATTACAAAATATTCATGTTATATTTTTCTTGACTAGAACAATTTTTCCTAATCTAAAGACCCCACCATCCCCAAAAACAATTTTATATATTCTTTATTTTTATCTCAATGACTGCATGAATAGTTTTATTTTGCGAAAGATGTTTTTTGCTATATTTCTGATTTGAGAAAGCATGTGAAATTTGGACCTTGTGTTTTTGTTGCTGTTGCAGTTTGTGATATAATTAGTTGGTATTGTAGAATATTTAAGGTCTTGTACAAAACGTGAACTCCAGCAAATCGAGACCTTAATCTGTAAATATTTGCACATCAAAATTAAGGCTATCTTAATTGGAACTGAAACATGAATAGCGTATTGCAAATGAACACGTTTAAATTCAGATGTCTGTGAATTCATCAATATCCTTTTCGGAAATGAAAAGCGTTATCAACAACTTTGAAATAATAACCCAGTACATCTGTATGTTGATTTCACATAATTGACATGATAGAAATGATAAAAGCGTGGACCCTTCAGATCTCAGACAAAATCTCACTGAAGCTTGTCAATTGCATGTCATAGAATTGAAATCTACATCTAGTGATGGGTCACATGTGGAAGAAATTTACGGCTCCAGCGACCAAGACATTGTACACAGTGCGCCCCACATCAAGGGGGTACCGATACACATTTTATTGGTTACAAACTTAAAGCTGGAGCTGTCAGATTTCTTGTTCCCATATGTAAAAACACTATTCTAATTATCATTGAGTCCTCAGAGGTTCACACCCTTTCAATCATTTCAACACACGAGATGTTTTTCTCTCTCCCTTTTTTTGGATTAATTGACAACAGGTTGTGGGGTAGTTTACAACACAGGATGATAACAGTACATAATGGTGATGAAAACTGCTGATGATTAGCCAGACGACCTGGGAGGCAGGCAGATTCACACATTTACAAATGACTTTTTGATCCCTTTCTTTAACTCCTTCCCCGGAAGGTATGTAACTTGGATTGGCAAAAGATTGCAATGCTTGTCTATGATATAATGAATTTTTTAACACTATGAAAAAAAATTGTGTGTGCAAAATTGGCCCTGAATTGCAACACAAAGAAAGGTTAATGAATGTTGCAATTTCTCTAAGGAACATTAAGCCATCATACTTTGTCACTTGATTTTGTTTGACTTCCAAGGGCTTTTAAAAGAAATTGTGTCTTTGTAGAATTAGCCCTCTGCTGGGAAGGATTGTATCTTATAATATAAAATTAATACCACAACATTTTTCATTATTTTCTATTACATTGACAACAACAAATTGTAAGCAGTTGACAATGGAAAAATGTCCAAACAAAGCTTTCTCATCTTTTTGGTATTTTTGTGAAATGATAGAAAATATCATCATTATTCCATCCAGTAAAAAAGTCCTCAATTTCTGTAGGTATTAATAAAAAAAGCCAAAAAACTTTTGTTCAGGCTTAACTCAAGGTCACTGAAAGCCTCCTCCCAAACAGTATACCAGTATTTCATACAGCCTCCATCTTGCAAAGAAACTACGGAAACATTTCCTAGCAATATGTTGTTTCCACAATATGTTTCCTCCCAAAACTGACCAGATTTTAGATACAGATGCCATGTTATAGGGGAGGGGGGGCATGTGAACTTCCGGTAAAAACCAATAATCTGGCAGATGTCACAATAATATGCCAAAACAGTGGTGTCTGGTTCCTAGCTGCAAGTCCAATGGGTGGGTACCTAAATTCTCATGAAGGATTTGAAATTTCATCCATTTTTGTCCAAAATTACTGTTCAACCACTTCCACAAAGATATTGCTTCACTACTGAATTACTTTCACACCAAAAGTATATAAGTCCCTTCATATGCCACATGACCGGATAACTTTTGCTCTTGTAGCTTGCACCTTAGAAAGGACAGAAAATTTCCTGAACTTATATCCCAGGGGTGAGCAATTCCACTAGCCTGGCACCTAGGTAAGAAGATTTTATAACAGGGCTTGTTAGAATTATCAGTCATAGTATGAAAATTTGTCTGTGGGGCTAGTTATCTAGATATGAACTTGTACAATAATGACTTCTAAGAAATGCTATACCTCATGAAGCATTTCATCATATGAGAGTAAGATGTCATAAAATGATCTGGACACTGACCTTTGACCCCACATTTCAGTGTGCCCTCTGTAGACTCATCTGAGTAGTCACCACAATGGTCAACACTGTCACACGTCAGGTCTTCATCGACACACCATTCATTTGTACATTTGAACCGTGAGCCACACGTCGCATGCTCTTTGAAATCTGTAAAGACAAAAAATATGAAAATGAAGAGATTGTGAAAGGTCCTAAGTGACAGTTGAAAGTCTAGTCTACAATGCTTTTTTTCTCTCCCTTCCAACAAGTTACTGTATACAGGGAAATTTTTCACTTCAGTTGAATTTTCATTGTATTTGCCCTCCGTCATGAGGGCAAATTTATCATTACAGCGAACATTAGAACAACATAATTTTCCTAGTAATTAAATGTAAGGGGCGAAAATAAAACTGGACGAAGATGGATTTAACTGGCGAAGGGCGAAAGTTTCAATAGGCTAACATTTCCCGGTATACTGTATATTAAAATAAGTCAAGGTAATCCATTTCAACACAGTTAGTGGTCATTCACTTGGCAGGATGCATGACACATAGTATGACCACATTAACCTTTGGATTGTGAGGATGTTTGAAACGATCAACAAATTTGACACCTCTTTGACACAATTTGATTTCAAAAGTAGGTCAAGCTCATGGTTAATTTGAACAAATTTGACAGTTTTCATTCTTAACAAGCTACAGAAATTAACATAATAAAGTTCCTTAGAAGAAGCTAATTGACGATTTTTGGACCTGAAAGTGAGTCAATTGGTCAGCCATCTTAACAAAATTGGTGGCGCAGTACTTCACAAAAACAACATTCAGAACAAATATGACTTCTGGTCTCATAGTTCTGAAGATGTTGTGTGCAATTTTAACATATGTAACCTGTTGTCTTGGAAGTGGATTTAAGAAATTCATCTGAATCACTTGATAGCCCTCCACCCCATCAAGCAAAATTAGGATAAATATCATGACTCTAAGCCTTGTGGTTCTGTGGAAGAAGTCATTTAAAAGAAAAGCTGATGGTGGACATTTGTGCTAGAACACTTTGTGTCAGACAAGTTAAAAAGCTCAGGTATAAAGGTCAAAAACCACAAAATCAAAGAGGAAAATATTGCAATAATATTGGGTAAATGAGATTTAGTGAAATTATGGTATGCCATCACTGTCCGATAAAAACGTCTTTATACGTGAAGTACGCGTCAAGCAAAGTGTCCAATGTAGAAAGGAAATAGGCATTTAGTTGTCTGTATCTTGTATGCATTCTGAATTATTGGCTAATAAAAGGACGATAATATGAGTTTGGTGACCGCCAGGTGACTTTATAGATGTGTAACATTATCACAATGGTATTAGTAATACAATATAAGTGTCACATTCACTGAATGAAATAGAAACTAATATTTTTTTAATTATTTATACAGGTATATTGAGTCAACATCAGGTAAATAGATTTGTACAGAGCACCGTGCATTGAATTGTTAGATTTGAGGATCCAAAACACCTGGATTCCACTATAGGTTTTTGTACAGTAACTAGCTAGGGCTGTCACAATATATCAGAAACAGGTATATCACAATACACATGTATATAATACCACAATACAGAGATAAAATATTGCTGTATCGCAATATTTTCTTAATGTATATCATTCTGCTTGGTGTTTTAACTTTGAAAATTACTACAAATTCTAACAGATATGCCAATAAGCATAAAACAGGCTTTTAATAGTGGTGGGAATTAGTTCAAATGTTGTAATCGATGGTTGGTTTGACAAAAATCTAAAATCTATGTGATCCATATTATATATGATTAAGTTTGATAACATTCTGACAACAACTTATTGTAAAATCGAGCACATCGTTCCTATGACAATATACCTCAGAACACATATTGCAGTATATTCATTCTGTATAGCAATATATGGTGATACACTCTTATTGCGTATTGTGACACCCCTAACAGTAACCTCCCCTTAATTTTGTTTCAGATTTGACTGTAGTGTGACATTGACTAGGTAGCTCAGTTGGTTAGTAGCACCAGATGGTCCAAGGTTCAAATCCTTCTCTGGTCCAGCTGCTGCATTTTAAACCCACTGTACACTGCTGCTGATTCTTTTTGTTAAATTCATCTTTTTTATTTATTTATTTTTCATGAAATTTCCAGAAGGTATGTTTTCCTTTTCAGCAATGGTTAGTCAAGCAAGAGAAACAAGCTTTCAATGCAAAGTAACATTTTTGACAGTGGTACATGCATCCTTAACTCATTCACCCCTGAAATTTCATAATGAACTACTCCAAACTTTGAATTGGAAGAGTTCAAATGTGTCTTCAGGGGTGAATGAGTTAACCTGCTATATTTTCAGATAACGTTTGTACAGATAAAAAGTTCTCTGAAATGTTAGCTTTGAAGCTACATGATGTATCTGTGAAATCTGTTCGTACAGAACAACGAATTCTTTGAAATATTAGCAGGAAATCTTAGAACTTATATATTTGCACTCAGCAGCAGGCTGTAGACCTTTGAGTATTGTTTTACTGCACGCCAGCTTCACTGCAGACTGACAATGTAATACTATACTTCACCCAGAGCTGATCATGAGTGGAGTCAATAAACCTCAGATTTAATGTGGCAAGTTTCATGGTATACATTAAACTCCAGCACATCTGTCAACATACATGTTAATTTCTGGAAATAGTCTCCATGGTACAAACATTAAGATCAACATCTTCCTTAAAGGTCATTTGAAAGTCATCACTAAATATCAAATTCGGCAAAACTGGGGACATGTTTAAAAATCTCAATTTTTTTAAGAGATATCAGAAGTCTTTGTTTTAGTTTGTTCTTCAAGTTTTCTTTTGTATGTTTTCACATTTTAGAACTTTCCCTGTAAGTATTAACTCATTCACCCCTAAAGTCACATTTGAACCCTACCAAATCAAAGACTGGGCAAGTCCAGTTTGTAAATGTAGGGTTAAATGAGTTAAATGTCATCTTATCTGGTCATTGAAAAAACATGTCAGGACATGTGAAGGTGTGAAGAATATAATTCAGTCCAACCAATACATGTATACATTTACTGAATTGTTTCTTTTCATTGATCTGAATCAATAAACTTGTAACAACTCACTTTCTTGGTATGATAAGAAACAATATCACTTTTGCAAACAAAAACAAGAGTACCGCGGGGCGGAACAAAATACGCCCGTCAAATGCCATATGGTGTTTTATACTTTCTTACATTGAAATAAGATCTGTATCATTCTAAGAGTGGTTAGCTGACATATGCTATAAAAAATGAGAAAATCTTCAGACAAAAAATCAAATACTACTGAAATGAACAAAAGGCAATAAATTTCGAACAAATCTTTGAAGGAGGAGGAGGAGATCTCCATACAAAATTAAAATACTGAAATGAACAAAGGGCAATAACTTTTGAAAAAATTGTCGAATCAAAATTCTTTCAAGGGAGACACAACTTCATATCCTGATTATCATGTATACCACGTTTGAAGAGATCGGTCGAAAAATGTAGGAGGAGATCTCCGGACAAAATTAAAATACTGAAATGACCAAAGGGCAATAACTTTTGGAAAAAATTGTTGAATCAAAATTCTGTTAAGGGAGACACAACTTCATATCATATCATATCATCCACCCCTAAAGTCACATTTAAACCTTACCAAATCAATGACTTGCCAAGTCCAGTTTAGATATGTGGGGGTGAATGAATTAACTCATCACATAAACCCTTACCAACCTGAAAATCTATCACTGATTGGTATAATTCTTAAAATCTTTAATTCATATTTAATGAAAATTACATCAAAAGATCCACAAAAAATATCAAACAACCATCATTTAATGATTATCTAGTCAAAGTCAAGGCACCTTTTGACCCTTTTAAGGCATTTTTGTTAAATTTATGGTCTATAAGGGCCTAGCAATCAACTTTAGAGCTTTTAAAGGCTAACCTTTGGTTTTTAGGGCATTTTCAAGGCCTGACAAAGCTGTTATGTCACTTAAACTGAATAATTTCAATTTCAGTATATTGAAAGGTACAATATTTTGCCATAACAGACTACATAAAGACGAAATATCTCTATCTTCATGCTGTTATCATAAAGCCTGTTTCATGGTTCTCTGCAATCAGAAGCGATGTAAATGGAAAAAACTTTTGAGTTAAAAATCATACACAAATGCAAGATTTCGGCTTTGCATGTTGATCAACTTTCAAATCCCTTACCCCAAAATTTACGTCATAATGATAACACACGTCATGAAGGTAGTCATTTAATTATTGCCTGTCACTACTTTTGCCACGCAAGTTCAAATCCAGCCAATCTACTTCACAAATTTAAACTCCATCTCATTCCAGTTTGACATAAATTTCACAGAAAGCAATTCTGTTTTAGAAACATCCACACGTTTCAAGACTTATCATCGCCAAACTGGTTTTAGCAGTGTTAAAAATTGGAAACGGATACCTTCATACATTTTACCCTCTAAAACCCATGGCCATGGTTTCGTGTGAAAGTGAGAATTAATTCAAGCTAAAAAGTTGTGTCTGCGTTTAAAATCAATAGTCTTGTTTTACAGCATCGGGGATTAGACGCCCATTTCCTGTGTGCTTCTCAAGAGAAAACTATTGAGAGAGAAAAAAAAACCCACAGAAAGTTGTAGAGAATATGGGGACAAAAACTGAACGATCAGGATCTTGATTAAGTTTACATACATTTCATCTATCTCCGACTGCCAATCTAAAGCCGTAATTCCCGCGAGATATGCGGTTGTCATTATCAAGTCAAAGATTTTATCCTCCATTAAATCGAGACTTTTTTGTAAGTTTATAAGTCACTTAGGTGTTACCCAATCCCCCTGTTTTATAAGAGGTAAAGATCAGCTCGTCTGCCCTGCAAAGGAGATCATGTCAGAGATTATACCTCAAATATGGAGAGCTGGCCTTGTACAACCCTCCCTGTTTGATCACATGTGATGAGTTTGCCCGATAAAGAAACAATTACTGATCGACTGACTTTTTCGACCCTGGCGTTTTTGTTTAATTGTTAAATTGAATCCTTCCCAACACACTGAAAGCCAGGGAAAATTATTGTACACAAACAATTGTTAACAAATTCTGCTTTTTTTTCAGTACATGTTGGGGTA